GGGTCGTCACATGTGGTTGCCACAAGCCCGCTGGCCGCGCCGTTCTCAAGCCCACCGGCCGTTCCTCACTCTAGGCCGCCGATCACTCTAGGCCGGCGTGTGTGACGCTGTGTGTTTCGTTGTGAAAGCGAAACTACTTTGTTTGGCCTTCCAAAAGAGGACACAACTAGAAATCAGTGGTTAAGTTGTATTCACAACACTGTTCCAGAACAGTACAACCCAAATATTCAGATGTGTGCAGTGCATTTTGCAGAGGATGAGGACTATTTCCTGTGAGAGTAGCCTACAATGCCGGTGTCTGTTTCTATAAAGTGGGGCAGTTCCAAATTTGCAAGGACAGTCTGGCGCTTCTGACTCACAGCCTGTAAGTACGTTTTTTATATTTAAAGAATTTGCCACTGATGATTCAAACTTGTTGTTTGTCGTTTCTCCAGACATGGTTTTGTTTACGCAGCGCGATATGCAATGCAATAAGTAAAAATACAGTATAAGTCATTATAATCAATAATTATGTCCCTACTGGATGCAACAAATGCCTGGTTTGTAAAGGGTTTTAATGTTTTTGTCTCGTCGCTCTGGCCGGGATACGGCATCAACAGTATGGTAAGGGGTGTAACATTTCTTTCACAGGCATGAGGTATTCAGCCAATCACAACGCATTGGATAGCTGACCACCTCGCTTTTCAGAACAATGAGCTTTGTAAAAATCGAAGGTTTCAGAAAGGCGGGGCATAGAGGAGCAACAATAATGTACATTATGTGGAAAATAATGTGTTTCTTGAACCTTAAACCACATAAATACATTGCATTACACCAAATACACAACATGTTCTTTTTAGCAACGCCATATGACCCCTTTAAAACTCCTAAAGTGAGTTGTATCAAACTTAAGGCCATAAAAAGTTTTAAATACGTTAAATGGTATAAGAAATGTCTTAATTATAATTTCAAGAGGTCTTACAGTTGGGGTCGGAAAAGATATGGCTGATTAAACTTCAAAAGGTAGTGTTGTCACTGAATAAATATCAGCGCTGCATGTTTCATGTCAAAAAGCGCAGATGTCTTTATTTGAATGTATCAGAAGGGAACCGCCTGTCCTCAGAAACGTGTCGTTGGCATTTTAATTTAATTTTACCTATAATTCCTGATGAAGCAGCGTTTATGAGCGCGGAGCTGTTACCGGGGAAACCGCAATATTTCAGAGCTCCTAAAGCGCCACCTCGTGGCAGAGAAGGAATTTGCATTTCCATTAAGCCTTTCTTGCGGTTTATGGTCAAATTAATGCAAAGTCATCTCATGTTTTTAGGTAGCTGTAAATGAGAAAGAAGTTGATGTGCCTTCTAAAAATCTAAACAATTAAGACAGTAATATGTATACGTTTTAAATTGACATAACTTATATGCTGGATTTATCCCCTTTCATAAAAATGGTCTAAAGGCTGAAATGCTGTTGTATAAGATTTTTGTTTTTTTGAAAACCTGTATCTGAACTGTAAATCATGTAATGTTATGGCTCAATATTGTATGTTACCATAGACATTGTCCAACCCTGCTTATACTGTGTTCATTTTACTTGTGAAGCTCTTAAAATAAATAGCCTTAAATTTATTTTTAAAAATTCTGCAGATACCCTGTAAATAATTAAATAAAATCCCTTCCTTCATATTTGTTGATAAATGTTGAAAATATTTTTGATTGATATTTAAACTCCTATCTGATTTTCTATATTTAAAAAAGGGGGTCTTTTTTTATTTGGGCTAGTTAAATAAATTTTCGGGCTACCAAAATCTGAAGAGTACCTGCCAGAAGGGCTACCAGGGATTTAGAAATTTTGCGAGCCGTGCTGTCAGTAATAAAATTATAAAACAATTTGACCTCAATTCAGTTTGAGGTATTCAAAATATGACAACACTGAATTTTTACAAGCAGTGATTTAAGAGCCATATATGTTAGGCCTATTTATTTAGATAAATGGAACATCAGATGGCTTTGACCTGTGATGCAGTTAGGCAGACTAGGATATTTATATGTACAAATCAGACAAATATCCCATTCCAAAACATTTCTACCATAAACTTACACTGTAAAGAAATTAAAGTACCATCTTTGATTGTTGAAAGACTTTCTGGTGCATTTCACTTACAGCCAATACAATTTCTAGTAGCATTTTCATTGGTCAGGCGTGGGACAAAGTTTAATCCAGGAGCAAAGATAAATAATTGAAATAACTGATTTATGCCCTGAAGAATTTTTGCCTTGCGTCTCATCTTCCCACTCGCACCCCACAAGCTCAAAGGAATGAAGGAGATTTGTGTCTTGGGGTGAAGCACTATGTAAAGTCTTAGTTCTGCTGCACCCAAAAATGATCTGGACCTCCTGACGTCGATGGCTGCCGCAGATGACAGAGCGGCAAAGGATGCCCTGAAAAAGCCAGTGAACCACCTCTGGTATCTCAGTGAGAAATTGGCTGCACTGGCCCTGTTTGAACCAGATGTCACGGTGGAGGAAAAAAAGGCAATGGTCGCTGCAATGGAGACTGAAGTGGACAAGGAGCTAGAGAAGAGCGTGCACGTAGACCCTAAGTATTGCAAAAAAAGGATTTGAGCAACTTCATCACAAAGAACACTCACAACTTCATTATTCTTGATTTCCGTCAGGACTTCCTAAATGAAGATCCTAGTACCTGGGCAAGCGATGCAACTTATATCACAGATGAGCAGATTGACAAGAGCCCGACGGTGACCAATGACAAGTCAGAAAGAGGCTTTGTGCTTGTCCAAGAGTACAACAGACTCCTCTCAAAGACTGAAGAACAAACACACTTCATTATGCAGATTGTCAGAGAGCACCGAAATCAGTTTCCAGATGCCGGCAAGAGTACTATGGTTGAAGGACTTGTCGATTCATCATAAATATCTAGATCAAATTTCAATTTTGTTCTAAGTGCACTTTCTTCACCAGTACAGTAATTTCACATTTTAACATTCTGCTTTTACATCTGCAAGAACTTTGTGGCTGAAGGACATGTCAGACTGTCATCACGATCTAGATCAGATCTCAATTTTTCTAAGATCAGTTCTCATCAGCAGCGTTGTAATTCAACATTTTAAGACTAACAACACTCTTCTGTGTTCTCGTTTTTAACCTAATTCACTGTTTACTAATGGTCTTGTACAATTATTAATTATGTGCTGTTATGGTCATTAAGACAGAATTTCTCTTTTGTTGAGCAAACCCCAAACGTAGTCCAATCTAAGCGAAATTTGGTTCATTTCCATTTCCTTATTCCACCCAGAGAACCCAATAATGCCAGGCCCAGTGTGGACTGCAAGCTCATCCGCATCCTCACCAAGGCCATTAAAGAGCTCAGCTTTGATTGGTCAGCCCCAGAAGAACCCACCCGCAGCTGCCTTTACAAATGGATCCTGCCAGGGCACCGTCAGCTAGCTCCCTGCCAGAGACCTGCACCATTCTATCCGGAAGTTCATGAAGAACTCACCAAGTCGTGGCATACCCCTTACTCAACTCGTGTCCACACTTCTGCCTTCACCGTCTTTCACCTCTATTGATGCCACTGAGCAAACAGGGTACAAAGCTTTCCCCTCTTGAAGTGTCCATCGCTGCACATCGCTGCCCACTCACGGCCCTTGGATGGAAAGCCAAGGAAGTTCAACCCGAAACAGAAACTCAACCCGAAAACAATTAGAAGACAACTCTCACTGCCCAGTAATTTTCTCAAAAGAGCTTCCTGACCTGGGAACTAACTACAGTCCTCAAGGATCTTTAAGGCCCCCTGTTTGAGCAACTTCGCCCCAATTGCGGCCAGTTTCACTTAAGACTGCCCT